ACGGTTTAACGTGTATCTCGTATACGCGCGGCACGCAAACGTTGCCGCTTTACATGTCTCTGGATAGTAATAGCCTCGCGACTCGACAATTTTTCCCCGTGACTGCATCGCGCCGTTCCTCGCGATGTTTTATAGAAATTCAGTCGATCCGCATGCAAACGGCAGAAACGAATTTTATCGCGCGATTGTGCCGGAAACGATATCATTGGCAGGCGAGCGCGTGTCATTTTATTCGAAAAGTCCTGGCCCTATCAGATCGATATGTCGAGTGTCACGAAGGTGGAGAGAACGACGGAGAAAGCGAAAATTTCAACTCGCGAGAAAAGGGGGATCGCTGAATCTCTCTCTCTCTCTCTCTCTCTCTCTCTCTCTCTCTCAGCGAATTATTCGCGACGCGAGAACGTCTCGCCTTTTCTTCCCTCGTGCCTGCCATGTTCTTCCCCCCTGCCGAAAAATCTCACGAATCCTTGTTGTTTCAATGCTCTGTCTCATTCGCGTGCAATCAGCAAAACTTTGTTATTCATTCACATTGATTCCGAAGTCCGAGATGCTAACATGACGAAGCCGCGAATTAAAGAGAATGTCCAATTACAATCAACTTTGAAAATCATTTCACAAGTCACACAGAAAGAGTAGTTTTTTTTTTAGATATTTCATCTGTCCCAACGCGAAATATAATTCCGACATTATCGTTTGAGACAGTCCCCATGAGAGGTGGAATTAATTAAAAAACGATGCGTGCTATTTTTTCAACTTCGTCCGCCGACCTCGCCGAGCTCGCGCTCGCACTCGCGCTCGCGCTCTCTCGTCGTTGGCGCACGACAGACGCGATATATTTGTCATTTTCTCGCGTAAGCCATTAAAAAAGTGGAAAATATTATTCCGCGGACAGCCGGCAGCGGGATTTGTTTTTTCTCGACTTTCGCGACGGACGCGTTGTTCATCCGCCGTGCAACGGGACGCCGTCGCGTCGCCATGCCATAATTCAGGAACTAGTTGGAACAAAAGCGGAGCTCACGTATCGTCCATCTGCCCCCCTTCGCCCTTCCTTTCCCCCGTCTCCTTGTCTCTCAGCGGTCTTGTTTCGGAATCATCCGCGACACAGCCGTGGGCATCTTCCACCTGCTAATCTCGAGGAAAGCTGCACGTTCCGAGCGGCTTCCACCTGTTAGTCACGGGGGAAAGCGTGTAGTCATGGAGTTCCTTGTTGCAGAGCGGAGCTGCACGCGCGCGTTGCAGCGCTCTTCCTCTCGTGTCATCTGCGCTGTCTCTTTATCGGAGAAAGAGAGCGAGCGAGGGGGAAGGAGAAAGAGAGACAGGCAGATGGATAGACAGTAGGAACGAGCGAAAGAGGCCACACGGCGCGAGTGCATAACGCCGCGGCGGCGGCGGTTCGGAAGAAAGTACGCCGTTACCTTCGACGCATCGTTGCACCTCGCGATTCGCTCCTCCGAGCAACGGACGCGAGCTGCAATCTTCCTTTCGCGCGCGAGCGGCTCCGCGCGAGTCTTCCGCGATCCCCAGCGAACTCGCTGGCCGCGCGCGGATTTTTCCGAGATTGCGGGGTAAACAGTCGCGATCGCTCGTCCCGGTCCACGGTGAAGGATTACGAAGAGCTACGTCGGTTATTTGCAGTTGAAACGCATTGTTTATTGTCGCAGTTTGAATTAATTAATTTAATAGAATGAGAACACACCTTGGCGATTTGCAACTTCCGATGTTTTGTATTTCGACGCGCGCGCGTCTCTCTCTCTCTCTCTCTCTCTCGTGAACCTTTCGTATTACCCTTTGTTTTCCGTCGACACAACGGACGCGCCGCGTCGGCTATCTCTAGCGCTGCGCATCGCTACTTCGCTTTTTACGACGAGCTCGATGAAGGGATTTCCCTCCGGGTTATTCTCCCTTGACCTCTTTGTTGCAACTCATTTTAATATTGCGCAACTTCAATAATTATGGCTATTATAATAACAGCGGCGGATGCGGGCGAAAACGCGCTGCGCGTTCGCGTCGTTTGCTGTTACCGTGCGAAAACTTCCGACGAGATCTATTTCTCTCGGTGTGGAGAAACGCCAGATAAGTTACCCGCGATATTTCCAAGATGTGATTTATACATAATATATTTCTAAGCACACCGATTTATAATTTAGAGATAGAGGACATTGCTGCAGCAATCACCTTGCGTATTACCTGGAATTTATGTTATTTCGCGAGTGACTGAAAATAACAGCACACATTCCCGATATAATTCTCTCATCGTTTTCATCTTCAACGATTAAGTTTTTTATTCGCGAGAAGCGTGCAAAAATACAGGTACATCTCGCGGCAATTAAAACATTTCCGTGTAAGCAGGATATTTAATCGTCTTGGATAACCTTTTGAAACTACTACATCCTTCGTGTCGCATGCGAAGGGATATCGATCCGCAGAAATTAAATCTAGATGGAAGCCGGTAAAAATTTAATTCGCCTGTCTCAAATTAAATTCGACGAGTTCACGCGCACATTTCGAGCCGCGATTCCCTTCTCTCATATTATACATAATAAAACAATAGCCTGGCATCATTGATATTCCTCCGTATCGATACAAACGTGATCTCTATTCGAAACACAGCAATGCGTCGTCACGCGCGACAGTTCGATCCCGAACATTTCCATCGCGCGCGCTTTTTATTACTCGCGACCGTCGCGTCGTAACCCCGTTCGCGAGGTAGCAGACGCCACCCCCGCTCACCCCCAAGACTCGAAATCCCCCAAAGCAACGACTATCCTCCCTTCCTCGAAGGTGATCCTTGAGAGCACGTGCGGAGACCTCGACGCACCCCGATACCCCTCCCCCAACAGACCTCCCCAACGCGTTTCACCCCTTGCTACGGCGGTCATCCCTTCGTCTCTCCCTTCGCGGCGAGTGCACAGCTCCGTTTTCCCGTCACCTTTTCCGCGGCGAGTCGCGGCAACGCGAGGAGGGAGCCGTCGTCGGCGCTCCTCTTTCCCTCCAAGCGTGCGCCTCTCGCTTCTGCGGCCCTTCCGCCGCCTGGTGCGCGCGGGCGCGCGACCTGCTCCTCAGCGCTTCGTCGTGAGCGCTCGATCCAACGTGTGCCTCTCTTCCTCCTCTGCCCCTTCTCCTTCTCCCGCTCAGCTATCGTTTTTCTCGTCGTCGTCGTCGTCGTCGTCGTCGTTGTCCTCTTCCTCCTCTTCCCTTTCTCCTCTTCCTCCTCTTTCTCTTCCTCCTCCTCCTCCTCCTCCTTCACCACCGCCACCTCTTCCTCCTCCACCAGCCACCCACTCATCTATCCCGACCCAGTGGCCCGCGGGCCACCTCCACCTCACCCTCGCGGCGCGGCGACCCCGCGCACCCGTCTCACCGTCGTCGCGCTCGTTCATGCTCAGTCAGTCTGTCGGCAACCTGCGTACCAGTCGTGTCGCAGCGCTCTCGTTAACAAAATTCTTAATTATTATTACACAATCTTTACTTGCCTTGACAACACTCGTTCGGTCGGTGGTGTGTTCATTCTCGTTTCCGATTAACGCGCGCGTTTTTTCCTTTCTCTCTCTCTCTCTCTCTCTCTCTCTCTCTCTCTCTCTCTCTCTCTCTCTCTCGCCGTCCCGTCTCTACCATCTCCTCCCTCGGAAAACACCTTTCCGCTCTCTCGATATCGTCGTTTACTGCATACATATATACAGACAGACAGATACACATACATACACACATATATATATATATATATAATATATATACATACACGCGCGATCCATTTCGCTCACCGAAAGAAAACCACCGCCGCGCAACACACGTTCCGCGCTCGCGCTCGCGCATGAAACTCGCCACGAAGAACCGCGGCCCTACACGCGCACCACACGGGGTGCACCGGCTAGCAGAGTGACAGAGAGAGAGAGATACAAAGAGGGAGAGTTCAAGCTGTCGACAGAGCAAGAAAGAAAAAGAGAGAAGAAGAGAGAGAATTACGTCAAAAGCAAGAATCTGTCATCCGTGCGACCTCACGCAACCAACGCAGGGTGTCTACGAGTGCCGCAGGTTATCCTTCTCCAGCCAAGCAACCTGGTGCGTGGCGCATCGAACCCTCGGTGCGCAACTTCGTCGTCGTCGTCGTCGGTTCCATCGTCGCCCGAGCGCACGACCGCGCGAGCGCGCTCACGCAGTGAAGCCGTTACCAGGCGAAACGTCATCGGCACGTTTGCTACACCCGGTGCATGGGTGGATTAATGTTGAGCGGTAGATGAAACATCGCGTCGAAAGAGAAACGTCATCGTCGCCGCCGCCGTCGTCGTCAACGTCGTCGTCGTCGTCCTCGCCGCCGATCGTGTTCACCGAGTGCTGCCCTGCTCCTCCTCCGCGGCCACGCTGGTGTATCGATTGCTCTAAAATAGACGCGTGGGAACAACACCTGCAGGCCAGGCGTACACGTACACACATGCCGCTCGCAGGCGCATAAACGCGCAACAGACCACACACGCTCGTGCCCTCCACGTTTCGCGTATACACGTATATGCACACGTACGTACACATATATACACACACACACACACACACACATATATACACGGCTCGCTCGCTCTCTCCCTCTGTCTCCCCCTTCCCTCTGTCTTTCTCTCTCCGTTTCGCCGTTACGCTGCCACGACTCCCTTGCAGCGGCGTGTGACAGGTGCAACGTCGGCGACGTCGTCGTAGGGTGGCCGGAGGTGGCGCTGGCGGACGAGCCGGTGGCGAAGAGCCGCAGCAGGAAGCGGAAGAAGAAGTGAATCGACTCCGGGCGAGAGTACGCCAAGAGGAAGAAGAAGAGGAGGAAGAGGAGGAAGAAGAATAAGAGCAAGAGGAAGAGACATCGAGGAAGAAGCAAGCGGAAGGGGCGCAGAAAGAGGAAGAAGAAAGGGAGAAGCCAGCCAGGAGGGAGAGAGAAGAAAGATCGGGTCAGGGAAGGAGAGGAGGCGTGGAGGAGAAGCAAGAGCAGGAGGAGAAGGAGGAAGCGGCGGCGGCGGCGGCGAAGGAGGAGGAGGAGGAGGAGGAGGAGGAGGCCGAGGCCCCCGTGTTTCTTGCGAAGGGAAGGTTATTTTCCAGTGATACGTCCTGGAGGCGCCCGTCGTCTTCGCCGGTACAACCATAACGCCGCCCGCTTTAAAACGACCGAGACGGGACACGGTGGATTCATCGCCGCCACCCGCTCGTACCGCAGCCCCCGGCAACCCCGGACCGTCCGGCAAACTTGCCTGCATAATGGACGCGCCGCTATCGCAGAGCATGGACTCCGTCAACACGGTGGCCACCGGCGAAGACGAGGTAGGTGTTCTAAAGTGTACACACCAAGGCGATGCGCAGCGTCGTCGCAGCGCCGCCGGCCCTACCGTGCACACGATGGCCGAAGGGGTGGAATCCACCCCCTCTGACGCACTCTCTCCGTCCCTGTCTCTCTCCCCTCCCTTCTTCTCGACTCTCTGCCCCCTCACTCCGCCGCTCTCAACCCCGCTCTCGTCGTTGTGTAGCCCTGAACCACCGATTCGCGTTTTTTTCCGCGAGAGACCATAAGTGTCTCCTCCTCTTTCACCGCCCGCCCTTACTTCTTTCGCGATCTCTCTCGTCGTGTCGTTTTCTTCTCTTTTCTCCTTCTTTCCGCCCCGAGGAGCTTACACCGTCCACCCCAACCCTTCTTCGAGCCCCTCTCCTCGCACTCGTGTATTATCGCCATATTGGTCGGCTTCTCCATCCCCCTTGCTCGCAGCACCCGCGCCGCCGTGTGTGTACACGCTCTGTCTCCGTCGCTCGTTCCGGTGCTCGCGCGTCATAGCGCGCGCAAGCGCGTACTCGGGTCACGCAGGCTGCTGACACGCGCGTACCACACCGCACCGCGTGTAGAACGCCGCTCATTAATGGCATATCCGATGCGAGCTGGATGCAACGTGTACGCTCGAAATGGCCTAATGACGGCCGCGGCGTGGCGCGGCGCGGCGCGGCGCGGTGCAGTAGCGAGCAGTAGGGCAATTTCGTGGTAAACAACCGTGAGTCTCTTTGAGAGACGAACGCGAGCTCTGCGGGCCACATATTATAATATTCACCGCAAACAACGCTCCCGCGATAACGCGCCGTGCGCGTACCACAACAATCTTGATCCGATATTACGCAACCTTTCGCGAGTCACTCGATCGTGCGAATCGCTCGGAGCGATTCTCTCGGAGAGATCGCAACTAGCGACCGATAATGAACCATCCGGAGAAACGCGTCGCGCCGTGTCGCGTTCGTGTCGGTGCATCGCTGCGATCTTAATAATTATTCATTTTTAAGTTATTACAGCGAAGATATCTCGTCTTTTAGCGAGAAAGAGAGAGAGAGAGAGAGAGAGAGAGAGAGAGAGAGAGAGAGAGAGAGAGAGAGAGAGAGAGAGAGAGAGAGGGAAAAGACCAGTGACGTGGGCATTTAGGAATGAAACGGAATTAACGTGCCGATGTATATCGGGCGTGTTTTGCAAAATCGATTGCGAAACGGAGAAGCGTGAAGTTCGCAATTATATGTAATTTCGCTGCTCATTATGTCCAATACAGGCGCGATGTATGTGAATATGTACGTACGTGTATGCAACAGCAACAGCGCGTTCATCGACGTTCTTTGTTCTCGCCGGTGATTAACCGTAACTATATAATCTTGCGCAATTTTTCGCGATTGCTCGTGACGTAGCCTTTGTGGAGCGGGCAGCTGGCGTGACGCAACTGTTTGGAGTTGAAACAGTTGTAGCGACGCAGCTTTGCACGCTAGCCCGCTCGCTCCTTCGCGGAGAGCTGAGACTCGAAACAAATCGCATCTTTAATTTATGATACGCCTTTAGCGTCGCCGTTACCGATCACTTCTGAGACTGAGTTGCGCGCGATGAACGGGGGAAGGTTGGACGTCGGGAAGGGGGAGGTGACGTCGGGTATTATTACATGGGGTTATACCGCGAGCCAGCACGCGCGCGCGAACTTTGTTTTACATTAATTTTCTAACGGTCGCGGTAAAGTTTCCATACTCTTATATACAGTTATATACAGGGCGCGCGCGCGCGCGCGTAATACAATGTCGAGACATCGGGAAAGCAAGCGAAGTTCTTTCGCAAAGAAATACGGACGCGAAAGAAAGTCTCGCGAAAGGTGTAGTTACGACGTATTAAATTTTTCACGAGCTCGGCATTCGCCGAGAATCTTTGATCCTTTTAATGTTTCACGATATACAAGTCCGGCCTGAAAGCAAATTGAATCTTTGTCGTGGCCTTCCCGGAAAATGACTCGCCGGGCCGTGTGCCGAAGGGAAGGAAGAAGAAGAAGAAAATCTACTCGGAATTAATATTCGCATTGAGAAGTTCTACAGAGACGCCGAGAGTACAAGCTTCTGCGTACAGTACAATGAAACGGCGCGAAGTGAAACGTACGGGCGTGCATTGTTTCGAGTAAATGATTAATTTCGAAATGAAAGCGACAGCAAAAATCCCTTCAAGAGTATTTGAGATCTACCCAATTGCTGAGATATGACAGTTTCTAATCCGCAGGTTTGTCGTGGCGCACGTGTCTGCACGAGAAAGAAACTCGTTTCGCGCAACTGATTTCTATTGTTCGGGGGGAGGGGGGGGGGGGAACGAGATAAAAACTTTAGGTTGTAGAAGCAGAATGACTTTGGTGGATGTCTATGCAGTCAATTGTTCTCCGTTATCTTAAGCTGAGCTTTAACGCAACCTCGAACGTTCAGACAAATATATTCGGCCGTGATAACGAAAGATATCGTCTCTCGTCACCGAGTTTTCGTCTGCTCTCCGCAACTCCTCAGTTGTACAAATTGAGATCTTTTTATCCATGCGTCACATTTGGGAATTCTTGTGCGATAAAATGCTAAAGCTAAAAAATTATCGAACCTCCGTAATTTATATTATTCTTAGATTCAAACATCCCGACCATCACCATCGGGGGTAAACAGATTTACAAAATTACTGAATCCACTTTGCCGTCGCCGGTAACAATTCCTCTTATCGATCGCACAAACAATGACGCGACAGACGTCGCGAGTGTGGTAGCGAAAAATTATCCGCGACTAATTCGACAAGAAGCCCGCAAAAAGAGGCTCGAAACAGAGGAGCTCGGGAGGATTAAAATTTCGACAACCCTCGACGAGCTCAGTCCTGGCGCTTCGACAAACGATAGCGGCGCGCAGCAGCAACGTTGCGCAGCAACGTACCGTTCGTCTTTCTTCCTCTCTCTCTCTCTCTCTCTCTCTCTCTCTCTCTCTCGCGCGCGCGCGCGCGAACTCTCCCTCTTTCTCTCACAGCGGAAGGCGGGAATTCGATCGCACGCCTGCTACGACAGTGTATACCTACCTCGCAGGTGACTCGTTTTCACCGGCGCGCTCGATCGCCTGCCTGCTTGCCTGCCTGCTTGCCTGCTTGCTTGTCCGTCCATCCGTCCGTTCGCTCGCCTGCTCGCCTGGCTCGCCAGGCTGGCTTCCTTCCTCGCCAGGCACAGGCACAGGCACAGGCACAGGCACAGGCACAGGCAGGCGGCCACCTGAAAGAGTGACGCCGCCACGCCACACCACACCACGTTCGCTATTGATTTTTCCGCGACTGTGCGAGGGCCACCGAGGGCCCGCCAGCGCACCACGCTATGTCACATCATACGGAAGGTGGATTACGCTTCGTGACGGCAACGTGGGTGCTCGAGACGCGTGTATGCTCGCTGTATGTGTGTATGTGTGTGCGTGCACGTGTGCGGTACGTGTGTACGTACGTGCGCGGATACGCGGATGCGCGCGCGTATGTTGTACGTGGGCGACGACATACGCGCGCAGATGATTTGACTTAGGTCGCACAGCATACCGGGTGGCGACCTCGACGAAGCGTAACCGACCGGGTCTGTCTGCCTGCCTGCCCGCCAGCCAGCCTGCCTGCCTGCCTTCCGTTGTTACCCGGACGGTCAATCGATTTACATGTTTATGAGACGGGGCAAATCCTCGCGGGGGTAACCGCTGGCTGTTCCACGTGGTTGGCTGGGCTTTTGGGAAACGCTGAATTCCGTGGCTATTCTTCCTACAGGCGGGAAAAGCGGAAATTCGCGGCGGTCTCGGACGAGCCTGCGAATTTTTGAGCGCGCACGTGCGCGCGCGAGCTCGGAGTTGTCTGTGCGGAGGTAAAAATACAACGTCGTTCCTTCTCCGTTGGGACAGGATAGGTTCTTCTTACTCCTCCACGCCGCACCGCTCGATTAATCCTTCTTCTACTTACCGATTCAATTACGGACGGGTATTTACCTTCGGTGATAAATTCCTGTCCGTTCTTTACTGTCCGTCGCCCACATTGTGGCTGATTTGCCGCGAGTTATCCGCGAGCGGGCACGACGTATCGTGTGATTTACGAGAGGGAAATATCGTTTCCTCGACTTTACGTGTACCTACGGGTGTGTACGGATTACGGTATCAGATAGTAAGATAGTTACCTTTCACTTTTGGATCCCTCGATCAACCGACGTGGATTTTTTCCTCGGCGAAAATTATCGCTCGCGATTTCCTCGCTCTAATGTTAGTTACCTGGAATATTACGAATGTATTACGTTGTCATTTCGAATATTAAACATTTCGAACATTAAATATTTTTAATGCTGAATATTATATGTCGTTAAATGTTAAATATCTTCGTGGCTAAATTCCATGTTATAAGTTTGAATAGAACTTGAGATTCTACTTGAGGAATAGGCATTCTCGCGCGGTTAAATTTCTGAAGAGCTGTTTATTCTCCGGCTTTCCCGATTCGAGGAGATTATTGATTTCTTTCACGACGCTCTGACTCCAACTTGACCGAGACATTCGTAAATGAGAGCTGTCGCGTAGGTAAGTTTGGGACACCCGATATACGGAAGTAGACGTGAATTATATACGCAATCTCCATGAGGACCTACATATCAGTTTCAATCGATGCAAGCAAAGTGGTCGGAAAATGAAAAACGGAAATGGATATTGCACCTGATCGCTAATACGGAAATGTGCATGTGTGGGTATGCATCGTGTTTCGACGTAAGAACAAATAAAGCTAATGGCGACCGAGTTTCCTAGTCGAGCAACGAGAGTTCTCGATCGATCGATCGTTTCTTCCTTCCTTCCGAGACGGATAGACGACAGCGTAGATATCCGTCTGCGCGAGGAAATAAGAATTTTCCTCGCCACAACTTTTCGATGACAACGAAAATCCCGTCTCGCCGCTCTTTGATGTTTCAAAGTTCAAAGCGAATTTTTTGTTATAGGACACACATACACATATTATTCGAATATATTTA